CAACCCCCCGTTTCCCTCCTCGCCCGGATCCCTCCGGTCCCAGCCCCGCAGCCCTTGCAATAGCCTCGCTTGTAAGGCTTCGACTCCTGCCGGGCACCAGAGCTCGCCTGCCTCGGCGTTCTTCCCCCTCTTCCCTCTTCCCCTTCTTCTCTGGCTGGTATGAGAAACTAGTACGAGCTGTAGTTTTATTATTCGTCGTCCAACTTTTGGCTCGGACTGTTCCCCGCTTAGTTGTTGGGCTGTGCTTGGCTTGAGCCAGTGACGGATGCTGGAAAGCAGCGGAAAGCCTTAAAAACAATTTAAGATTTGAGGCACCCTTGGCTAAACCGGGTCTTCTTGCCCCTTCCGCCTGCTGCTGCTGCTGGACCCCCTCCCCCTCTGAGCGAGCGCTCCCAGCCCTTCCCTTGACCCGCATCCTCCCCCACCGGCTCTCCCCTGCCGTGTCTGTCCAGCCCAGGTCGAGCCAAAGCCGACTAGAAGCTGGAGAGCGCCCTTCTCCTAAACCACAGGGTAGTCTGTCCAGACTGAGCGCGTTTCATAGAGAAATGTTTATCTACTCAGGTTCGCACGCAGGACAACGGGGGGTTTGTCATCAGGATGCTCCGCGCTTTTGTAGGGTGGTTCACACTGCAAATAAGAAAGGACAATTGTTGTAACTACATACTAACATAACTGAGTCCAGGACAATATTGTGACTGACAATTCACATACCAACAAGCTAATATTACAATAATTGTATCTGAACTCACTGAAAAAAAGACCAGTCCTTAGACATTTTTTTTTTTTTGCCTACACTTACACCGCACGCATCCGTGCGGGTGGGCTTGCCCATTGTTACTTACCACGGCGCCCTGCTGCCCCGCACGAGTAGGCAACACACTTTGCACCCTTTCATCCGGGCCAGGAAAAGCAAAATGAAGGAACGCGGTTCTGCCCGCATAGAAATAAGTACCCCAAAAATGTGGCTGGTCAAAGTGGACCACCCTATTTTACGTAAATTCCCGTCACCCAACTTATTATTCATTTTTCGTCAACAAAGTTTTGTTTCAGTACAGCAGGCGGGACACATGAAGGTGCGCGTATACTATTGTTTTTGTCGTGACACGTGAGCCCTTGGCGCAAGTACATACTCCTACGAAACGTATACACCCCGCAGGGCTTTCACTTTATCGTGCCACCCCACAATGCTCTTGTTTTCTACCCCAGTCTGCCGCCCTCGCTGTCTCCCGCCAGTAACGATGGGTGGCCCGTTACACCGCGTATAGGAGCAGCAGACGCCGAAAACGACGCAGTAGTCGTATCGTCTTCTGGCGGGTCTCATGTCGTCGTGCTGGAGTCAGTGTTGCAGAAAGGACAACGACGTCGTCTTCAAAGGTCGGGGTCTCGTATGGCATACGCGCATCCGAAGGAATGGGCCCGCTGACCCCTGCCCCTGCAGGCCTTTGCTAGCCTTTGCTCGCCCGGGCGGCTCTCAGAGTGCTTTTTGGGTACGACCGCGGGTGTGACACAAGGAAAGAATCAATAGTTTTTGCGACACACACTTCATAGCCACATGCCCTATGTGGGGCTGAGCATGCATAAATGTAAGAATCAATCAGTGACAAACGTCATACATACTCTAGAATACCAACGGTGGTACAGTACAGTCTCTCTGCCCCATTCTCACTGGACCGAGTGCATCTGAAAAGTGCCTGTGGCAGCGACGCCGAACAGCGACATGAGGCCACGATTTCTCGGGAATACTGCATTTCCCGCCGTTCTCTTTATCCTCTACAAATCCAACAGTCCTACCAAGTGTAGGGCAAGCATTGACCCCTACTTGACTGTTATATTGCCCGAATTAACTTTTGAATTGCGGTAGTAAGTAGGCTTCAGATGAGAGTAAATATAATCATCAAAAATCATCCTGTATAATTTTCGTTGTAAATATATATGCAGTACATGCAGATGAACACGGGCGTGCGTTTTTCTGACGCGACAGTGACAGCGGGCAGCTAGAGGGGGTTTATCCTGGTGTGTTTTCGAGGACAGGAGGGGTACGGTAAGGGGGGGGGGGGGGTCACAAGGAGGGGATGGGATGGCAGGGGGTCTCAATGACTGCTGGGCTGCCGTTGAATAAAGATGATTTATCACTCCCTGCTACCCTATCCCCGTCCCGTGGCGCCGCTGTGAAAGGAATACGAAAGGGGTGGGGGAGGCTGGCGAGCACACACACACACACACACACGCACGCACGCACGCACACGAGGAGGTCACTCGGAAGGACGAGGTTTGGCCTTGGACCTCCAATGAGCCGCACGTCCTGCTCTGCGTGCTTCTTAGCAGTACTCGTTTACAATTTTTGTTGTTTATCCTGACTACAGCCCCGCCTCGCCGTACCGCCTCAACCCACGTGAAGAAAAGGGGGGGTTGCCTACACATACTGGGGTGTTGTGTAGGAAATTGCCTACCTCTCAGGCGGATTTCTAGGGCTGAGGGCGGAAGTGTAAGTAGTATTTCTCAAAGTGAACAGTCGCATTTCGAGGATCTCCGACGACGCTTCCTTAGTTGAGCTCCCCGCACCCACCCCCCACCCCCTCCTAAATACTTACGCGAGCAGGCGCGACGGGAACACTAGCCAACCGGCAGCTCTGTTCTCACCCCCACTCCTTCCCCTCTTCACCGTCTTTCCCTCCCTTTCTCCTCTCATTTCTCTCTCGCTCTCCCTGCCCAGATAAGCCGTCCGCTTTTGTATTTTAGTCGATGATAACGTATCGGACGCTGTGCTCTCGTTGGCATGGCCCTGCCGCTCGCACCCAAGTTATTATTAAGCAGTCGATGACGAGTCCGCCCCGCGGGCCGGGAGGAGCGAACGGGGGAATGAAGAAGAGAGAAGAGGTGCACAGACACTCGGAGACAGAGAGAGTGAGAGAGAGGGAGGGGGGGGGGGGGGGGGTAGAGATGTAATCGACAGATCCAGAAGTTATTGGATGCATTGCACAGAAGGGTCTTTAGCTCAATCTCGATACCGGAAATGAGAATAATTGGGAGAAAATTCAAGACGGCATCATGGTTTCTGTATATTTTTGATCTCTGTTTCCTATTTAATTGTCTCCCACCAATGAAACGCAACGGTTCCGTAAGGTATGTACCCTACGTCATTTTGTTGGGTTCGGTTGGGTTAAGTTTTATTTTTTTGAAGCTCTAAGAACGTAGAGTTTGTGACTTTTATAGTATAAAGGACGAGGGGGCGAGGAGTGTCCCCTCGGGCCACATGAGCGCACCGGCCGCCCGTCTCTGCGGGTGCTGGCGGGACGAAAAGTACAGCCATTCCATTTCACCTTGGCCATCTCGGGGTCTAGCCTCGATGGATGTGAGAGAGACTGGAGAGGGAAAAAGAGACAGACGGACAGAAAGATGAGGGGTGGAAACGGGAGAAGAGGTGGGGTGAATGGATTGGACATCTCGGTAATCCTTCCGACTTGATCCGCGTTGCTGCAGCAGACCTGCGTGGAGGCCAATCCAATTTCATTTTGTGACGGGTGAAACGTTCACCTTGCCATCCCATCCCTTCATCTCGGCGTAGCTCGACAAAAGGAGGTGGGTTAAATAGACCATTGGAGCTCAGCTCACTAAAGAATAACAAGAGCGGGGAAGAGTTCAGTCTCCTAAAACAGCAAAATAATCAGTTGTAGATTATTTTTTTTCTTTTTGCCATCGACAGGGTGGGTTGACCAACACGTAACAGCAGAGAAATGGGTGGGACGTGGGGTGGGTAGGGGGCTAACTACAGCTCGGCGGGAGTAGCTCCGAAATTTGGTGTACACCCGACATTTTGCGTGATTGGTCACTGCTACTGTGGGTAATTTTTACGTACTCTGTTACGTTCTTTTGCGAGCTATTACGTGCTTTAATTTATTGCATCGCGCTATTACGTGCTATTTACTCAGTACATCGCGCTGTTACGTGCCATTCCTCGTTACATCGAGCCATTACATCCGATTACTCGTTACTTCGCGCTATTACGCGCTATTACGCTACGGAGCACACAGTTTGCGCGGACTAACGCGCGGAGTGATTACCGCCCCGACAGCACACCGAGTCGCGGGGCATTATTTACGGGGGTGAGAGCCGGCCGGCGCGGCCGAGCAGAGGAATACTATATGGGGGTGGGCCGGGGGGCAGGGATGGGGGCGGCGCAGGGGGATGGGGGCAGCGCTCGGCCCGGTCGGACAATGCGCCCCCTTGACGTCATCAGGGAACCACCCCGCCCAACTTCGCGCGCCGTGTCCTCCACTCCCCTCCCTTTCCAGCCTCCCTCGGTCCAGCAACACGTAACTATACTGCTCCGCTGTTGAAGGCCCCCCGAGGAATGGGGTGGCGACCAAGAGCAGCGGTCCTAAGCCTTAAGCCCTTGTCGAAGTGGGCGAAAGTAATGTCGAGCTGAAGCTTGCTGGAAGCGCAGCACAACTTTTCTTGCGGTGGCCGAGGCCGGGGCGGCCGGGGCCATGGCGGCGGTGCAGTGCCTCGTCCACGGCCGCTCGTCGAACTGCACGTGCCGGCCGAGCGACATGGACCTCATCAATGATCCGGGCCGACCCCCCCAGTCATGCAGCCGTGGGACAGCTGCCGTGACAGCGGCGGGACAGCGGGACGGACGGAGCGGACAAGGGCATGAGAGGAGAGAGAGAGAGACGGGGCCAAGTGAAATATGTAACGAGAGAGCAGAGAGAGCCAAAGTTGGGCTCGCGCCCCCGGAATGACGTCTCTCAACTTTTTTGGACGGCCCCGCCCGCCCCTCCGCCAAGGAGCAGTCTGCCCAACTTGATGTAGAGCTCATTTTAATTCAGGGACGGTGGTGCCTTCTGCACACCGTCTGCTATACCCCCGCCGCGCGACGCTTCCTCCCGCCCCCGTCCGCCCGCCTGTCTGCCTGCGGCCTGGAGCTTGTGGCACTTCTAATTGCGATAACTCCTGACACTGTTATGAGCTTTCAGACTCCCCCCACCCCTACCCTCCACCACCACCCACCGCCCTGCCCAACCTCATGATGTACAGCGGGCCTAACGTCAGTAGTGGCTTTTGGCAACACTATAACCACCACCAGCAGCAAAAGTGCCCTTTATTACACCACCGACAAAAAATGAGAATGGGCTTTTATCGGTTTTTACTATTTCGGTCACGGGAAGTCGTCGAATAAATTTCGCGTGACTGTAGTTGAGACCGTTCGACAAAACAAAATTCTAGTGCGTTCTTTGCTGTTTATACGCCAATTTGTTCACGTCTATTTACCTTTTCTCCAGTCGGACTTGGGAAGCCTAGATCGTCGCTCGAATTTAAGAGAAGGCGCTTCGCCGCTGGCCTGATTATGCACTCCTCTGCTTTTGCTGCCGCTATCACTGTGGCCGGCGGAGGGATCGCTCCCCTCTCCGCAGCCGCCCCGCGTCCCCTGCGCCCTCTGCAGCTCCAAGCTGGCTCGAGCCACGCCACCACCCGACGCATTTGCTCTGACTCGACCCCCCCCCCCCCTCCCGCCCCCTGTCCAACCTGCTAGTTATATTATACCCTGGGCTGTAATCTCGACCTTTTCCACTTCCAAGCCCTCCGCGAGGCCAACAACCCCGACCAAACAGACTGTTGCCGAGTACTCCGTGATTTTTTTCTAAAGTAGCATTATTACTACAGCTGATAAAAACTTAAGTGCCCATTTTTATTTATCAGGTGGGACGAGTTTAAGCTATCAACAAGTTCTGTTGTGGCACCGACGATCACAATAACGCGCCTTTCTTAGAAAATCCCATGACCAGAGTTTTCTAACGCTCGTGAGGTGTGTGTCAACTGATCCCTCTGTGATATTTTCCTAAACTATGGTTTCTTTTATCTGCAGACTCGGACTTGGAGCTGCTCCTCAAGGAGGTGGTGTGGGCGGCTGACAGAGGCGTCTCCGCCGTCAACAACGTGACCGGGCAGCCCAACTGGAGCTTCGGACAGTCCATCTTCTTCTCGTCCACCGTCGTCACTACAATCGGTCAGTGGGGCACAGAGTGGGACAACACTGCTGCACCACACAGCGGAACAGGGAAAGAGGGAGGGGGGTACTTGAGGGAGAAGGGGCGCGGGGCGCGGCGACGGCCGGTGCCCTCCCACGCCCCTTGTGGTGCTTCCCTTCCTGGCACCGTATCGCGTCATCATGCCGGACCGATAAACAGCTAATGAAATAAAAATTTTGGTGAAATAAAATAAAAACCGAAGAGAGTAGGTTGCAGGCGGGTGGTGGAAAGGGGAGGGGGTGGGCAGTTGTTTCTATGAATGGTCGGCTCACTGTGAGCCCGAGTCCGAGTTGCGCGGTTTTGTGGAGAGAACAATGGCGGGCGATGGCCATCATCACGGCCGATGTGTTGACTTTATGGAGCGATAGCGACAGACAATGAGTCGTGCCGGCGGTGTAGTGTGCCGTCGCCAGGAGGAGTCACACTGCAGCCTCAGCCGGCTCGGCCCTTCCCCCATGACCCTCTGGCGGAGGCATTTTCGCCCCTATTTCCACTCATCTCAATCATTTATCTTTTTTGGTTCGCAGGATACGGTCATGTGACGCCGCTCTCCAAGGTGGGCAAGCTGTTCTGCATCGTGTACGCCATCTTCGGCATCCCGCTGACGCTCGTCTTGTGCACGGCCCTGGTGGAGCGGCTGCTCGTCCCCACCACGCTCCTCCTGCAGTGGCTCAACGCGCGCCTCGGGCACCTGTACCAGCCCTTCTACATCCGCCTGCTGCACCTGGCCTTCATCGTCATCCTCCTGGTACGTGCGAGCACCCCTCCTTGTAGCGGCGTCCCTCTACGCTCCTGGAGGGGCCGTCGAGCGCGGAGCGCGTCCGGACCTTCCTAGTTTACTGAGCTCGGCTGAGCTGTTGTTTCAAACATACTTCACCCAGCTAACATGCCCTCTTCTCATCCGGATGTTCAGGTCAGCTTGTTCCTGCTGATCCCCGCGGCGGTGTACGCGTCGCTCGAGCCCGAGTGGGACTACATGGACGCGCTGTACTACTGCTTCATCTCCCTCACCACCATCGGACTGGGCGACTACATCCCCGGCGACTACCCTGGCCAGGCCTACCGCCCGCTCTACAAGGTCCTCACCACTGGTGAGTATAGCGTCTACGCGTCTACTAATCGACGTTCAATTTTAATCGAAGGTGTGCTCATCTCGTCCATTGTGCAGTTTATTATAGTCGATATTGATAAACCTAAAACCTAAAACATGCGGGTGAAAGCTTTAAAATTTATCAATTCTAGGCGTGATACTAAATGCCTTCCTGTTTCCTTTGCAGTGTACCTGCTTGTCGGCCTGACGTTCACCATGCTGACGCTGGCCGTGTTCTGCGACATCCCCCAGCTCAACGTTGGCCTGCTGTTCATGGCTCGCTCCGACGAGACGACCACGGACCCGGAGAAGGTCCGGCTGAACCAGCCCGCCGTGCACGGCCCGGGGTACACGCAGCAGCGCGTCCACGTGCGCGCCCGCCTCGACTCGCCCAGCCCCGAGGAGGTCACCCCCGTGCACGCCCGCCCCTAGGCTGGGCTGGGCGCGCACCGGCCAGGCCAGGCCGCATCCTAGGGTGGCCTTAGGCCCCATCGAATTCACCCGAAAATGCCACAGCCCGTGCTCACGTATAGTTAGAACCCTCGTTGAAGTTGAAGTGAGCGCGCCGGCGCCGCGGAGCAGCCCCGGCCCGGCCGCCCTCACGCCCGCCGGCCTGAGCCCGGCCACGAGCTGGTATTGTGCTGGCCTCAGGCCGGCGGTGTAGGCAAGGCAAGGCGTGGGCCAGCGGCGGGGCGCGCAGGGGCCTGACCACACCCCTCTCTCAGGGTGTCGTGGCCGTGGTTCGCGTGGGCTGTTTGGGATGGCGGCTGACGTGACGGGTGTCGGACGGCCTCCACCACGCCGTGATGCTGCCGCCAGTCCATTCGCCTTTAGAGAAACGACCTCTTCTAGATGTGAAACATCTCTAACCTTGGCGTGTGAACTGCCTCGGGTGTCATTCATTGCCCTGCGGGTCCTCCTGCTGGGTTGTTCGCAGGGGCGGGTGGATCCGGGCCGGGTCTCAACGGGGGCGACGCCACTTCTACCTATCAGTTCCTCTGTTGAAGTCCCGATGCTGAATGGATGGTTGGAATTGGGGGGACGAGGGTGGGTAAGGGCGCTCGTGAGTAGGGCGTGGTCTCTTTTGCGCGGTTCCCATTCATTTAGTGCCAACAACAACAACATTTAGCCCCTTTCCTTGACGAAAATGAATGTTATTCTTACTATAAATATCATTATTATTAATGTTAACTATTATTTAAAGCACCAGAGGCGCGGGCGTCTCACCCTTTGGTGACTGTGGAGACCGCGTCAAGAAAGATTACGCGCATTTATTGTCTCAGTCGTCAGCTAAAATTAAGTATTTTGTCATCACACACTAGTCATGCCCACCACTTAGGTCTTCGGTCACCTCACTAGTCATAAGAGGTTGTACAAGACAGATATACAAGCTAGTGTTAGTGCAAGAGAACACGCAAAAAACGTGACGAGAAATACCATAGTACTCGTTTTAATCTCAGCATATGCAATCGCTCTTGCCGAACCTCTTTATATAATTTGCATGGCAGCAAAAAACAAACGCTTGGAGACCATGGCTAGCTTGTATAGTGAGTCGGCGAGTAGACTGTCGCCTATCCTTCCCCTGCTAGAGGTCGTTTCTACGAACCAAACCAATTCCCGGTGTTGGCCGATGATAGACTCCTTCCACACCTCGATAGTCTATTTTTCTGCTATGTTTTCTCTTCATAAGTTAGACGGGAAAGCAAAGTTTTCTGACATATAACCCTCAGAAACTAAAAGTTGTTTGGTATAACAACTATATACGACTCCTTCATAGTATCTACCTCTCGACTTCTATCTCTATTTCTTCCTGTGAGTGGAAACAAGTAAAGTGCGTACACACGCACAGCCGTAACAAAAACCTAACGCACATTCCGCACTCCGCTAACATTACAGCGCTTACAAGTTTTGTTTCGAAACGGAACGCCATCATATACGGTGTCTTTGCCATGTTGTTCAGAACTAATCATGATTGCAGGCATATTATTGAGTGAATATATAACAAGCAGTTGTGGGTAGAGAGTGTACGCTGGTAGTGGAAATAATGAAACAATAGCCGCACTCTATTTTGAGAGAGGGAGCAATCTCTATCCAGCCATGACGCGCAGACTGATTATATTATACTAATACGTACGAGTAAGGAACGCACACACGAGCTCCAAAATATGTTTTTGACAAACCATCTTTATTTTCATACATTAAACGCCGCACCTCTCGCCCGTTTATTCCGATCAGCGATTCTTCAATTCGCCCTAATGAGAGGTCTGGTATCATTCGCGCCATTTATTTAGATTTAGGCTGTGAAGTAACACGAAAAACTTGTATATATTTTACATATGATATGCACTCTTCCTTTATGAACGTGACATTGCTGCAGGTAGGGGCACCCCTCCTAGGACCAAACTATCCTTAGACTAGAGAAGTATGTAAAGGGCTTTGAAAGAATGGGGTTGCGGTCGGTTGCATGTATTACCTCGCAAAACCCAAACACGATAGTACCTAAAGACATGGCGACGAGCCTTCCAGACTGTTATGGAACTAAAATCAAAATCACAGCTTTTGCACTCAACATATCCCGTAGAGTTGAGTTTTTACGAGTATTAGTACCACGAAGTAGGAGCACAATCAAAATGTCAAAAGCCGTCAGTGTTGCACCTCAGTCTCAAAAAAGCCGGGTGTATATCGTGTATGAGTGCATGTGTCGAAGTGTTGCGAGTTTGTCTTCTCCCTCCGTAGGGCGGTATTGTTCGTGCAGCCTGGGCGTGAAGCAAACCCACCACATTCCTGGTACACCTGTCACGTAGTATATTTCAGCAACGTCGTAGTAATGTGAGGAACACCATGAAAAAAATCTCTGAAACAATTTGGTTTCGGCTATGCTTTGTAAACGTTGAAAAAATAAAACCTGGGCACTGACAGACACTGCGAGTTTCCTTTCTCCCCGCAAGCCTCACACTGATACTCCAGAACAAAAACTGTGAGATGGGCAGATAATACACATGGCCTGGGGGGAGGGGGGGCTGAGGGTTGTCTTCATACAGTGGTTTTGTACCGCAAATTGCCTGCCTCTCAAGCGGCTCTCTACGGCTGCAGCCAACGACTGTGGTGCTGTGACGTGGCCATTGTGGCGTAGCATGTGCACGCCAGTTGCACACTTTATTTACAGAGAGAACATCCGTTTTCCACAGGTTCATTCGACAGTTTATGAGAGCTCAGCGCCTGCGATGCTCAGGGTAGGCCAACCCGCAGTACGTGCATGCACTGCAGGCAAGATGTTGCCTGCCTACCAGGCGTTATGAGAGCGTACCCGTACAGCGAGGCCCGGAACTTGGACATCCCTGTTTTGTAGCTGCACAGTAGTTGTAGCTACAACTGACACGGCCACATGCAGCTTTATCAGAACCGACTGTAGAAGTGAGTCCGTTCGTAAATGCCCACGCCCCTCCCCACCCCGACCTGGACAAAAATAAAAAATAAAAATGGGGGAGTACTTTCCTCATCCCACCGCAGAGTGTTCTGAGTTCGGAAGCCGAACAACAGTGGTCAGAACATACTCCCGGGGTTTGTGAGACGGTTGATGCGTACGTTGATTAAACTGTAAGCCGATTACGACAATGTTCAAGCTTTCTATCGGTAGCCCCGGAGGAATTTTAAAGTTAGGCGCCATAGTCGTCATTTGTTGGATCGTCTGCTGGGGAAACAATTGACTGCAGCCTTGGCGCGAATGCGATGCGTTGTTTTCGACAACAATCAGTCAAACAGGCTGCATCAAACAACAACTCTCAATTTCGTAGACTTGTGTTCAATATCTTTAAGGGCATCTCTTGAAAAATGCAGGGACTCACAGATTCACATTACTTGGAGTCAAGATGTGTAAATTGATATCCCACCTTAAGGATGTTGAAGTACTGTCACAGTAGATAAGCTGAAGCTTCGCACCCAAGCGCGAAGGCTAGGTTGTACATAATATTTGTCGAAAATGAGGTTGAATTGTACAGTTGAGCGTCGTGACAGACAACTGGCTAGCCTTGCAATGAAAGGGAAAAGGGCCGGTGTGTCTGTGTTGAGCATAGGACAAAAGTCTGGTGGTGGAGAGGTCGTCATTGTGCACCACTCAGTCACAACCAAAGAGAATACTAGTTACAGAGTGAGTTCCTTTCCTTACATTTCTTGTGTAATCCATGCTCATTTATGTTGTGCTTCTAGAATGGAACAAGGTATCTAATTCTGTAATATTTACTATCGCTCTTGTCTTTCAGGTAAAAGGGAACATCTTAAAAGTATTTTCCAAATTCCTCAATGAGGGGAAAACAACAATCAGTTTTGCTAATCCTCCTCATGATCTCATGGTTAAAGCAGATGACAACATACAACTAAAATCATTTCTGAACAGCATTCGGCTAGTTCTGCAAGGAAAAGAGCTCTCTAGGGGAGCGGGAGGGTTATCATGCCTTGATACTAATGTCAAGGTTCATAGACCGAAAACTAAACTAGTAATAGCCAAAAAGTCAGAGTATCCTGTTTTGGAGGGATTCCCTCGCACCCTTCTTGAACTCCATGTAAAACACTTTGCTTCTATCTTGGAAACCATCCTGGTCCTGTTTTTAAGCCAAAACTTAAACTTTACTTCTGTTTTAGATTCCTCACCTTGAGCGTTCAACCTTTGACTCGCGTATCCTTAAACTCAACCAGTTACGTGTCCTTGATCTAAGTGACAATAAAATTACAATAATTCCTCATGGCTTAGGTGATCTCCCTAATTTGTCAGAACTTAACCTGGCAAATAATGAACTGGGTTTGACATCTAGACAGCCTGGAGCATGGGACTGGCTTCGTGGCTCAAAGCTGCCCCTTTGCCTTCATAAATTAGACCTTAGTTCAAATAATGTAAGTATCCTTGTGGCTTTAGCTTGCAAACTAAAACACCATTACTTTAAATTTTTTTTATCAAAAGTCTTCCGAACTTTCAGATACCTGCTCTACCTAGTTTTCTTAGAGATTGTGTAAGACTGTTAACTTTAAAATTGAATAACAATCAATTAACTGTTCTTCCAAGTGGCATGGGTCGAATGAATTCACTCAGGTGAGTTTTGGTGTCAGTCAAATATTTTCCCAACACTGAACTTTGATAATCATTCCAACTTATTTTTCAGGTATTTGTCTGTAGCCTCAAACCAGCTGCGGTTTCTACCGGGATCAATGTTCAAACCACTGAATCGCATTGAACATCTTGATGTTTCTAACAATCCCTTCTCTGGCGATTGTATTACAACTTCTATAGCAACACCAAAAATGCTCAGTCTAAAGGAGCTAGCTGCTAGGTCGGTCATTTCTTGTAAGATTCAAGTTAACGAATCTATTATCCCTTTAACTGTCCTAAAATTCATGCAAGGTTGTGATTTCTGTGTTTGTGGTAGTGCATGTTTCAATCCTGCCTTCAGCAAGATTTTATACAGTGACATACGAAAGGTTGCATGTAATGTAATTATTGGTCCAGGTGAAAACATGTTTAAGCCATTTAGAGTAAGTTTATGTGTTGACAGATGTCTACGTAACAAATTTGCCGAAAATATTTTATCCTGACCCATAAACTGAGGGAAAATTTGCCCTTGAAAATGTTATTAACTGATCGCATGATGGCTCTTCTTTTATCACTCAGTGTCTACAGCAGGAGTTTTTACATAAACTTTTTGGGGTTAATTGGCTGTTACTTTTAACAAATAAAATGATATTGTAATTTTTCTTTGACTTCCTTTTAACTTTTACACACAATAAAAGTAAATTATTATTTGTACACTTACTGCTATAGGTACGTAATTCAAAATGATCTGATCTGTTCCTTGACCTTGGTGTCAACTTCCTTGCTCTCAAGGAATTTCTTTCTGTACAGAGTATTGTAGTTGACCAATTGCACCATGACCCTCATTCTTAGTACAAGAATCACAGGCACGGTGAAAGTGAATAACGATAATAATTCTACTTACACATAATCTTGGCATACTTTTATTGCCCAGAACGTAAGAACATGAACATGGAATAGCATAAATAGACAAGCAAGTGGTATGGTAGGAAGTAGATGGAGAGCAGCAGAAGCTGCAGAAACGATTGTACTATACAGTTGACTACCACAGCAACATTGCTGCTGTGCAAGTGAGTTGTCAAGACAAAGTATTGGAGAGAGTAAAAAGATTACATAATTTTCTAAATCTGGTTTATTAAGAACATGGCACATTCTACTATGTCATCAGATCTACTTCTAGGTCAAATAAACCTGAAAAATCAAGATATTTCCAGCTAAGTATTATTGACCACTTCCTGCACAACAGACTTCATGTAAAATAGTTTCCTGCATTTGCACAGCGGCAATACCACCCAATCCATCAAGTAGATGGTTTTACATACAAGAAGCATTAAACAAGAAATTAGAACAAAATAGGATTCCATAGACAAGTAGAATGTCAAAGTAGCGCTAATACTCATCAGCACTATTTTAATATCCCATTATCCACGTACAGGCAGGAAAAGTCAAAATTACACATTAAAACATTTCATCTTTGTTACAAGAAACACTCACTCTGTATGGTACAGAAACATACACACTTAAAAAACATTTACACACTTAATAGTGGACAATACTTTTGGTGCACAAATGAAAATAAAAAATATAAAATTTAATAATGCACATATTTCAGAATACACTACACAAGTGTAAGAGTAACAATTTAATATTTAATCACACAGAGCATGCTATTGATTTGCTGGTACGTAGTAGCAATTCTTGCACTTCAAAAATGGATTATTTGATTTTGATCCATTTCAATAGAAAAATATTAAAAGTATATTGGGAAAACAGCCTAAACTGCAAAAAATTAAGGATGAATTTGTACAATACCTTTTCACCTAGCAATGATTTGTTTGATATTACTTCTAACATAGACAATTACTTATACATATATATAGCTTTCTTGGTAAGGCAACAAAACATGTTGCATGTTGAAATACAGCATGTCATTAGTTGCGTGAAATTAATTCACTTTATATTGACAACTTTTACACAAAACACAATACTACACATGACAATGATCATCTAAAACACAAATAACAGAGGTCAGCTGTTCCAACAAAAAAGAAAAAAAAAACATCGAGAAAAACATACTTGCCTCAAACTTGATAG